TCACACACACACACACACACACACACACACACACAGACACACACACAAAAGAAAACACGCAAGACCTAAAATGCCACCCCTCAAGCACATACCCAATAACAATTAAATAAAAAAACTTGGTTTTCAGCACACAGTAACTTACATTTTTTCCTTCACAATCAAACTGTCTTGTTTCGCACTCATACGAGTTTGTTCTACTCGTTCTAAAACCAAACAAACAACTCATTAAGAGGGCTATACAGTCCTTGGCGCAGAATTTTTATTATTATTATAAAAAAAAAAAAAGTAGAGGTTTTACGGCGCTCGCAGCTGCATTAGGTCATATGAGTGCCAAGGGGTGGATGTCAACAGAGAAGTCTTTACAGGGAATCGGGCCCCTGTTGTCGTTCAGGCACAGTTATGAGCATGACATTGTTGAATCAGCCCATTTACAATTCTTCTGTGCATAAGAACGAGAAATGTCCCCCCTTTGGGAATGGACATACACTGAAAAGAAGTAGGATAGTAAAAGGCGACAGATGTTTGATAGGAAAGCAATGAGGTTATTATTTTATTTCAAGGTCCTTGTAGGAAAAAAAAGCATCAGGGTTTATGAGGTTGTAGTTAAAAAATAATACATGTAGTTTTTTTTTCGGAAAAAAGGGGGGGAGGGGGCATTGTAAAACTACTGGTATAATGCATTGTTGGATAATAATCACAAGTGTCTCACTCTAAGATCAGTTATTTGTCATAATCAATCACCGTCATTATAAAAAAAGGCAAGGAGCTTTGCTCTGACGCTAGCAGGAAAGGAGGAAGAAAGAAGGAGAAGAAGACAAAAATGATAATACTATACAGACGAATCTGTCCGAGTCGACCTTCCATTGTCGACGAGAAAAGTGGTCATCTTAGACTGTCACTCCTCTTGAACAGTCATTTTGATTTTTTAAAAAACCCATAAAAAACAAACAAACAACAAACAGCAACAGCCCCTCCCCCAAACAACTACAAACAAACCAACCAACCAACAAACAAACAAACAAAACAAAAAAAAAAACGCAAAAAGGGGGAAGGAGAGAAGAAATTGGTTGCATATGTACAAGTGGTTGTCTTAGCTAAGTGGTCATTTGAGCAAGTTCGACGGTATAATATAAACACCGCAGTGGATTTTTCTCATACCAGTGCATTTGAGTATAGATGTTCATGTGTGCTAGTCCACAAGTAGAGAGGCTGTAGTTTTTGCTGTTGCAAAATAGATTTTTTTTTTCAACCGAATTACAGAGAATCTGACATTTCTGGCCGTTTTGAGTTACTAGGACCATGAGATAAGAAATCAAATGCTCTATCAAAATCATGAGATTATGATGAGTTGCTATCAAGATAATCAAAGAATTGCAGGTGAAAAAGCTTGACATACTATTATCGTGAAACTCAAAATTATTGACGTCACATTTCTCAAAAGTATGTAGGCAACTGAGCAGATAAAACTATGTAATTCTGAGGTAGCGACCTCGCTACCCAAGATGTAGAAAGTTCTAACGGCTCAGTAGGCTACCTAGTTTTGAGAAATTTGACGTAAAAAAATAAACTGGAGTTTCACAACATGTTTAGCTTTTTCGGATGCTTTGAATATCTTGATAACGACTCCGAAATATCTTTCGATTTTGGTAGAGGGAAGATAGAACATAATTTGGTTTCTGATCTCATGGTCTCAGTCTTAGTAACTCAAACCGGCCAAAAATGTCATATAGAACGTTGTAATTCTAAGGTAGCAAATTGTTGTAGTGGTAAGAAGTGGCAGGAGCAGACCACATCACAGCGACCCTTTGTAATAACATTCCTTCTCACGAGGAAATGGACAAAGAAGCGCGCGAGAGAGAGATAGAGAGATAGATAGATAGATAGATAGAGAGAGAGAGAGAGAGAGAGAGAAAGAGAGAGAGAGAGAGAGAGAGAGAGAGAAAGAGAGAGGGGGGGGAGATGGGGAGGATAGATAGATAGATAAAGAGAGACAGAGAGATAGAGATAAAGAGAGAGAGAGAGAGAGAGAGAGAGGGAAAAAAAAAAGAGAGAGAGAGAGAGAGAGAGAGAGAGAGAGAGAGAGAGAGAGAGAGAGAGAGAGAGAGAGAGAGAGAGAGAGAGAGGGATCGTGGTGTGTGTGTGTGTGTGTATGTGTGTGAGCGCGCGTATGTGTGTGTGTATGTGCGTATGTATGTGTGTGTGTATGTATGTGTGTGTCTATCTGTATGCGTGTGCGTGTGCACGTGAGCGCCTGCAAGTGCGCGTGTAAACTCCGCATTCATAAAGCGATGTGGCCACCAAATAATAATGATATATGTGCATCTCTGACAAAGAGGATCTACGAGCCCTTCCACGACTACAAGGATCGCATTTCTTTCTCGTGTGCAGTGGTCCTGTTCCATATAACAAAGGAGGAATGGGGATGGGGTTGAAAGCGGTGGGGGTGGGATGTTAAACAAATAGAACTAGAAGCAAGCTTATGATAAAAGTAATAATGATAAAAGTAATAATGATAAAAGTGATAATAATAATAATAATAATAATAATAATAATAATAATAACAACAACAACAACAACCACAACAACAATAATAATAATAATAATAATAATAATAATAATAATAATAATAATAACGGCATTACCCGTTTCTGTTTCTGATACCACACGAGGGAGTAAGTAATGTGTGAATAAGCAACCATAGATACTTGTATTCGTTTTAGTTTTAGTAAGAGTTTTACGGCACTTGCAACACAAATAGGTCCAACAAGTGCCACAGCTTAGAGGTGATACCAGTGAGTAACATAAAAAGAAAAGGAGGGGAGGTAAAGACGAAACAGGTTTGAGAGGAAAGAAGGAACAAATCACACTAGAGCACCTGCCAACCACCCACAAACATGCATTCATCAGTTGGTACATTTGACTGAATGTGTGATAAAATAAGTTCATATACCATATATAAATCTTTATAATTCAGTTGTGCATCATTTCTGTTCGCGTGACAGATGGGAATTAACTTCAGTCTCATACTAAACTACAGACCACTCAAACTTGGTCTAAGAAATTATTTAAACAAAAACCATTAATTTTTACCTTCTCAAATGACACACAGGAGTTCTGTTTTTCAACCCACTTTAAAAAAAAAACATTAAAAAAAACCTGACTTGTATGGATAAGCAGGCCTACAGTTTCGAATAAGTAGCTTACAAACTGATTCTACCACCCCAAAATATAACACTTTGACACAAGGAAATAATGTTTGAGAACAACAAGGAAAAAAAATAAATAAAAGGCTGGACACAATAGCATGCTTCACCAGGATAGACCACAGGGAAGAAGAAATCAAGGTCTCTGAAACCATTAAAGGAGACTACAAAAAGAAAACGTGACAAACAACAACACAAGAAGGGATTTTGATAAGAAGAGATATTCAAGAAAAAGACAAGAATAATGTGGGCTGATCAATTCAACAACAAAATAAAGCACACTGTGAGAAAAGCACAACACCGTGAGGCAAAGCTAAAAGTCAATATTTTGCAGCATTTATTGTCCAGAATACATGAAAATAACCAGATAATGAAAGGTGTGATTTGGACGATAAGAGTATTGTTACAATTCAACAGCATGACATAAATGATCTGGGGAAGGAAGGGATATCTGTGAAAACAATTTCCACCATACACATGCTAAAAATAGCGCAATGCTAGCAGAGAGGAGAAAAATCAGACTTACTACATCCATACATACACTCAGAATCACACACAAGAAAAAAAGGTGTGGATTTTCAAACATACATATGACAGTACGACTGATCTTGTACTCGTGCACCAGATAAAAAATGAATAAGAGAAAATGATCTAGGATGTATGAAGGCAAATCATTTCATGACATACATTCCAGCTAAAGAGACTCGCATAGAGCTAAAAATATTACACACATGTGTACACAACTTTACATTGCGACTCTTACCAAATTTGTTGCTGCAAAGTAAAAATTCAAGTTTCATTCCAGCCCTTTAATTCTTGACCAACAACTGGTGCTCAGATACACATAAAGATAAGTAGAGAGAAAAAGCTGAGACACGATGCCACCATCATTATCAACCGTATTTAAGAAAAAGTGAACACAAGGACAGAAATCTGGACATGTTCATTTGCAGTATACAAATGAACAAGTTCATTTTGAAAAAAAAAAAAAGGCACAAACATGTATTTCTAAAACGTCAGTTCTAAAAGAAAGAATAAACAAAAGTGATCTATAGACGCACTACTTGTGTCTTAAGAAACTTTAAGGCAAAAAGACGGTCCAAATGATCTTTACTTGTTTTTGAAATGTTTTGAAGCCTCAAAAAGTTAAGTGCTCAGTGCTAGAAAAATGAGGCCTTACTCTTATGAAGTAAAAAAACAAACCCCAAAACAACTGATGTCTCAATAAAAAGGTCTCCTATGACAAAACCAAAAACCCACCAAAAAAACCTATACAGTATTTAGGAATTGAGGTTGAAC